GTGCTTTCTCCCTTTGAGTGTGAGATTTGTCAGCGCCTTCTTCGCGTCTTCTTATTACTTACTTCACTCTCTCCAATGCCATATCCACACAATGCATCTTTTCTTTTGTATTATTTATACAATAACATTTATCTACTTTATTGATGAAGACTATGATAATATATATATTAGTTACCCAATTTAACAATATAATCTCAGCACTTAGTAGTTAGTACTTAGCGATCTCCATACCTTGCATTGCCCAAGAAGTTCGAAGATTCTTATTATCGTAGTGAGAACCACTTACATTTTCATGATATATATATCCACAACGCTAAACGTGTGCATATATATAATATGAGTTTTGAAGAAAGCATATTAGGTGTACTATAACGGTTTTAGAAAGAAGAAAAAAAATTGGTATGAAATTATTTGAGAAAAATGATGTTTTCATCTCTTTAGGAATATTACGATACCGATGTTTGGTCTACAATAACAACATATAACAAATTAGATTGAAAAATGAATTTCAGTATCAAAACGACAGAAATAAAAACCTAAGAAACAAACAAATATGATGATCTATCGAGTTAGTCATTAATTAAGGTCATAAGTATTGCTAATTTACAAATAACGAATTCTAGCAAGACATAGAAAACAAACAAATATGGTGATTTAATTGAATTAAGTCATTAGTTAACTCATGTAAAAGTAAAATCTAGCAATCCAAAATGAAACGAAATATATAAATGTTCGATTAGCGAACAGTAAAAGTTATTTAGCGGTAAAAAATTGTAAACCATAACATAATAGTAATAGACAGTGGTATATGACTATATGGTAATAGATAGGGTATTGCTTTTGATACCGCAAATTGTTATTGTTTTTTTTTGGGTAACCAAATTAGCAGTACGTTATTTTTTATCGCATTGTTAAAAAGATACCAACCAAATCCAACATCTTAAACGCAAATGAGAGCGATCCAAACGTTATAGACTTATAGGAAGAAAAAAAAAAATTGGCGTAGAGGTGGGGACCAAAGCACCGCCAAAAACATGAGATTGATGTCATTGTAAGCACAAGAATACAAACGCTATACATCTCTCTTCTCTCCCCCCTAACCCTAATTTACCAATCACCAACTCAAAACAAATTAAGCAGACCACCCCACACACCCCCTCAAAACCCCAACACATCTCATATAAATTAAAAAAAGAAAATGAGTAAAGAAGAGATGAAGAAATAAAAACCCACCAAAAGCCCTTTTCATTTCCTCCAAAGTACAACTCAAATCAA